ATATATATAGGAGAGTTCAAAAAGTCATGGGAAAATTCCATTCTTGTTTAATCCTTTTTTTCCACCAACTCTTTGAAGCCTCTTATATGTGTGTGCACATGTATATTTTTATGATCTTGGTGAAATATTGCATTACTTTGTAGAAATGTAAATGTAGAATAAATAAATAAATCTAGAAGGAAAATTGCACTCTCACAGCCTTCATTTGGTTATTTTTAAACACCCTAAAATTAGTACTGAGCATGTATGGACTCATTGAGTAGTTTAAAATTTTAAATAACACCTTACATCAGCCAAAGTCAACAGAGCTTTCCGGAAGTCACCAGATGTTTCAGAACTAATATCATCTCCAAGACTCTTCTTATATACTGAAATCAAAGAAGAATGAAATTAAGCAGTGGCAAACTAAAAAATCTTATTATACAACAGAGCAAAGCTTAAATGTCAACACTGGCAATGAATAAAAACCTGATTAAATCAATCTTGCTTTTATCCAACTTCCTGTTGGATACCGTCTTATAATTACTGCTGTAGTGTATGTAATGGCAGATGCATAAGAGAAAAAAAATCACCATCGAGACCAAAGCCTGGTCCATTTCATCTTACAATAACACTGAAGGAGAGAGGCATGGTGGGAGAGCTGTTACTTTGCTTTCTCATTTCTGTTCTCTCCTTTGTAAAAACAAAACTTCAGTTTTTAACAAGACATGATGGTACACACAGCATAAAAACTACATCTTCAGTTTTCCACTTTGCTAGGTACAGCTCCATGATTCAGTTCTTGGCAAGGCAATGCAGGCAGATAAATATGACAATTGCTGCCCAGTTTGAGAGTTGATACATAGAGTTGGGCTGCCCTTATGGATTATAAAGATGGCATTAAAGTAAGCAGGAAGTGACCTGTGTTCCTGAAAAACTTCAAGAACTAAAGTACCAGTCCTGGCACTGCCTGTCTCTAGACGTGTTTTTACATGTTCAAGAAATAAATTTATACCTATGTAAGCCACTACTATAATTCTTTTTTATGAATCTAACTCTAATATTAACTAGGAGCTATTATTGTTGTTGTTAAGTGCTGTCAATTACATTATTTGATAAAAAATATTGAAATTAACAGTTTAAACATCCTATTTTCTTCTTAATAATTGCCAATTTTGTGTTCACAGATTTTAGCACTGACTCCATAAAGATTTACAGCCTCAGAAACCCTGTACAGAGTCACTAGGAGTCAGAACAGACTCCACAACACATAATCA